AGCCTACAAGTACCTCATATAAGTAGGTCATTCTTCTCCACTTCGTAGTGTGGAGCAGAGGCTAACGCGCTCAGAGCGTTGTCACGTGCTTGCTTGCATATTTATGTTCAGAAAAAATAAAAAATAAAAATAATAAAACTGAATATTACTGGTGTAAAAAATGTGTGCACTTTCACGCCCTTTGTGTACGGGTTCGAGTCTTAATTGTCGTTTATTTTATTTATATTTTCTCCACTGGGGTGGTTTTATTAGAATTAAAATCTCTGTCCAATTGTTCCGGCTATCATAAGAGGTTTTTTTATTCTTTTGGAATATAATAGGGAGATTTATGGGGTAGGCGTAGTCTTGTTTTCCTCTTGATGAATGTTCTATAGTTTTGTAAATTTTAGTCTTTAATATCCTCTCTTTATTATCTTCAGTTAGACGTATTTTGTTACACAGTAAAACCTGTGTTTGAGTAGGATTTTATGCGTGATATATTTGCGCAGAATAATTTCATGTCAAAAGAAATTGAAACATTAGTTGTTTAATGCATGATACTGGACTTAAGATCCAGTGAATAAATCTGAATCTGCTGAATAAAAGTCATTTAAAAGTGCGTTGACTGAAAAATAGAAAATTATGGAGAACTACATTACTGAGATCGCGTATCTCTTAAGATTCATTTTCTGGGCTGTCGTATAGATTATTTTTCAGAGAAAGTACAGGCTATGAGTGACGAGTATTTAGAACATTCTTATCAAGATGCATGTGAAATAGAACCATTTTCTAAAGGCAAACGAAATTTTAAAATGCCTAGCTACTTACTCTTCACTCTCTACTACAAGGTTACATGGTTTCAGTATTACAAGAAATTCTTGAAGGTTTCTATATTACAAGGTTTGCTGTTGTATTACGCTACTGACTCCTAGTTTGCTCAAAAGCAGCTTCTTCCTTCTCCTTTTATGGCTTCGTTTCTCTCATGTATGTTAGTAAAGTTATAGTTTAAATAACTCTAATATTGTCTTTGCAATTAATGGTAGACACGTAAGCGCTATGTTGCACGCTCAGTCACTTCGAAATTTTGAAAATCTTGTTGGCATGCATTGTGATAATTGAGTTTAAAGACTATATTTCTAATAAAGCCATACTTTAATTTAAAAAAAAATGTGCAGCTTGTAACATGAAATTACACTGTTAGTTGAAATCTTACTGCTTGTATTTAAAAATTTAAAAAACATTTATTGAAAAAAAAAATTATTGAAGAGTTTCTAAATTATGGATGCCTGATTAGTATCGAGTTGCTGCTTCTTTGGCCTTGGTAACAGCTGCTAAACCACGAGGTAAGAAATTTATTAAATCTACGGGAATATTCGAGAGGTACGGCCTGCCAAGCTTCTTTCAGAACTTTTCATAAATTAAGGATGCTGGTTATTGGTTTTGTGCTTGCATAACATTTCTTAATGTATCCCAGAGCTGCTCATTTGGATTTAAATGTGGACTTCTTGGCGGCTATTTCATCGGTTTCATTGCAATGTACTCGGGAAATTACCTATTCCTGTTACAAGACAAGTTGTTCTGCTGCTATATACTTAATTTCTTTAATTGCCTGATGGCAGAAAAGCAGGAAGGGATATAAGTGATCACTTGAAGAATATGCGTGCTGAAATGTGATGAGAGGGCTTGATATAAGTACCAAAAATTCCTGAATATTGATAAAGAAAATACCCCAAACCGTCACTGAGACGGTATGATCGTGTACATTTTCAACCTGATATATTCGGTCCACAGTTTCTTAGGGTTGACGCCACATTATTTAGCCTACCGTCAGTGTCATGCAGTTGGAATATAGATTCATCAATCCATGCTATTCGCTCCCACTCGTGGATGCTCTAGTCTGGGTGTTCTGTGAAACATGTAAGACGGGGAGCACGGCGGCTTGCAATACGGACCTTTGACCTCTGAAGTCAACTGATTGTCCTACTGAACCCCTAATTCAGTTACATGATCACCTATGATGTGGTTTGGTGTTGCTGGCTCCTACTTATCCCTTGCCGTTTGTCCAATTATTATTTTTCCGCTATTCCTACATTTTTGGCATCCTTTTGATAGTGGGTTACGAGACACTTCGATTCCCGAATTATTTCTGAAACTGAAGGCCGGTGCATCGAGCACCTGTTATTTTCTCTTGATCGAAGGCATCTGAATCATGAGTTTTACCCTTCACATTGTTGGCTAAAATATTGTTAAGCTAGCAGCAACATCATGTGGCAGTGTCCTCACATGCACATATATAAAACAGTTGCATTACCATAGTTTTGTAACATCCTTAATTCAATGGCAGTTCAGTGCATTTAGGTTACACATGGGAAAAAGTCATTGAAACACACAAAGTCATTGTCACAAAACAGAGAATCGGCCACGACTTTACCTGTCTGTTTAAGGGAAGGTTTCCTTCTTGAAGAACTTTCTAAGAGAAATTGTCTCATATATATGTCACATATGAAAAGAAATTATTGGTGCAACAATAATTTTTCCATTCCATCGAGAATTTCTCATTTCAGTTGATTTCAACATTTATCGTAGAAATGAATTGTTTTGCAATCATGTTCAGTCAAAAAAAATTACATTATATAAAACCCACATTATAAAAAAATATTTACCTTTTTTCCATTTATTTTAAATAATGAGCATGTGCATTTACTATGTTTTCTGTAATGTATTTTATAAGTTGTTTCTTATTCGCATCGTTTTAAATATGATTATTTAATATTGTCATACCGAATTACATGCTAGCGGTTTTGCGAGTTGCATTTAATGCTCCTATTTCATCCTTGAGCTTTCGCAAGAAAGCTCATTTTTCTTTTTATTCAGAATCACGTTCTTTGTGCAATGACTATTCAGTTTTATTATGATTATTTTTTTGGTCTTAAGTGTATTTGTAATATTACGTAAGACCTTTCCTTGTTGAAATTGCTTAAAAGCATTTGTGTAAGAATTTTAATGAGACTTCTTCATTCCAAAAAGTATAATTTATTTTATGTATTTATATATTTCAATTTAGTTTTTCTTTTTTAATAATGACATTTAAAAGAAATAAGTTTGAAGAAGCGAATTTTTATATAAAATACTGGATTTAAAGCATGCCTGCGAAAACTCTTAAGAAAGAATCAGTCAAATGATATCAGACATTGTTGATTGCATTACGTTATGTATAATTTTTCATCTTTGTAAAAGGTAATACAGATTTATAGTAGGAATCCCAACTATTTTTGTAATGTTGTTATTCAGTGAACCAATAATAATTGGCTGAATAATTACGCCCAGTGGTAAGGGACCCACGTCATAATAGCTATTGAAATACATTGAGCCTTCTCATTAAGAATAATTTGAATTTTTGCTTTTTTAAAAACTCCAAGCTGTTGTGGTTATCAAATAAACTGTAAAAAGGTGTCTTAATTTTAAAACGTTTCAAAAACAGGAAAATATGATATATTTTTATCAACACTGTGAAGTTTTAAAAATATTACGTAAAACAGGTAGGAAAATAGATGAAAAATATGTCATATTTTTAACACTGTGGAGTGTGCATAGATCACTTCTTTGCAAGAAATGACCAGTCGTTGAAGTAATGTTGTCACAAATTAAATTAAATTTCTTGCAAATGTACGGTGTGTAATCTTCCAAAAACTTGTGATTAAAAAACTGGATTTTTTTATGCTGGTACCATAAAATAACATTAAGGTTGTAGGGACATTAGGTTAATTGAGGCCGGAGAGATGAAAAATTAGCAAACGTCTTCGCCGGGAATCGAATCACGGACCTCTGGAATGCCGTCCCGGCATGCAGAACCACTGCACCACGAAGGCACGCTAGGAAAGCGGGAGAAATATCTTATAAGGTCTATTGTACAAAATACATAATGAATTGACAAAACTGTATGATATCTTTTCAATAATCTGCAGTGAGTACTTCATATGAGGAATACAAGCGGTCTCCGACGTACAGTGGCTCTGTTCACTTAAGATGGAACGAAAGCGGTAACCATTTTGCAGAAATGGTGTTTCAAATTATGAATTGTTATGCTTCCAGCTCATATGGCAAGGATTCTAACAGGACGTACAGCACGGTTTGCTTGCTGTAGAGAAGGATGCAGTGTAGTCTCACCTGAGACGATCACATAGTATTGCAGACGTTTCTCATCTTTTGTGTATGTGGTTGATTTAAAGAATATGATTATCAATCATCGATAATGTTTATACCTTTTTTAATATTTATTATGTTATGAACGGTATTGAACATTACAGTTATTTATAAGGATATTTTTCAGTACCGTTATTTTAATTACATATTCAGAAGTATTGTTTACTTTCAGGGATAATTATCATAACAAATTTCATTGGTCAACGAAAGGAAGAAAACAACTGTACGATCTAAATTATTACCTTCCCTGTTAAACTTTCAAGAACTTTCGATTGATCAGAGTCCATTACTAATTCTTAAACCCTGTAAGAAGAGAGGGAGAAACTGATGAACACTTTTCCATTTCATGTTCTTTCTAAAGCATTTATATATTAAACGCTCCAAGCATTTTTAAGTGTAGAATGTTTTCATATCCACACATTAATGAATAACAGATGAGCATAATGGTAGAATTTTTAATTTAGGCTTTAACCTTCGCGGTAGGGTTTCAGTCTGTAACATTCTCCACCTCATGTTTTACATTTGAATAGTATCAACAATTTAAATCTTTCATCAATAGTAAATTAATTTATTATTATTTTGCCATATTTCTTGTATTTAAAAAAAGTTTGCTTAAGATAAAATTCAGATATATCTGAGATAGCACTGCGTTCAAAGTGTAGTATTATTCAATCTGCCATAACTAAGAGTTAATGATAATTGTAACTTTGTAGGTTTATCAGAATGTAATCTCGTAGTGTGTACAAGGATCGACCGCACATTAGTATGAATCTTTCATTATAATACAGTCACCAAAATATATGTCTTTCTTTTTCAGCACTGGACACGGACGACATTCCAGTAAAGAAACAAATATTCGAACTATTGTCTGCCCTTTGTGTTTATAGGCCTGACGGCCACACCAGAGCTTTGGAAACACTCGAGCATTATAAAGTAAGTCATTTTTTCTATTTTAGACACAAGAGATTGAATTAATGATCGTGAATATTCAACTTTTAATGACTAATTATTATATTTTACTCATTGCAAAATCGGTACTTGAAATTTCAAATAGAATAATTTTAATGACATCTATGGCGTGAGCATATCGGACATTCTAGTTCTATTGCTGAACTACTGCTCAATTTTTTAAAATCCAGATTTGTTAGATTACTAATATATTTCCATTCGCAGTATGACATCGACAGTCTACCGGCAGCTCTTTCGTATATTCGAGTTGATAAAAGATGCAGTACAATAAATGCGATAGTTCAAGCCTTCTAGTTACCGTATTTTTACATGTATAGCATTTGTTTCCTCTAGTAAAAAAAATTCCGAAGATAAGTTGCGGGTAGCCAGTTCTACCATCTACAGCAGGGTTTCTTAAACTGTGGGTCGTGACATCCTTGGGGTTCGTGGGACCTGCAGCAGGGGATCGCCAAAAATTTTAGCAGTGATATTATAATATAATAAGTTATAATAATTTTACAATTACCAAATATTTTTACAAAATGTATCTGAAAATAGATAAAGCTAAGGGAATACAGACAAAAAAAGAAAAAAAAAAAAAAAAAAAAAAAAAAAAAAAGAAAAGTTTCGACGCATTCTTATTATAATATAAACGTTCATTTTTTTTTGCTTTGCACGTGACGCTGTCATTTCGTGTGTTACTTATTTAATTTCGACATTGTTCTATGTCTTAAAATTAGAAGTTAAATTTAATGACCTAAAACTGCAATAGTATATTACAGTACAAGTGAAAAAAATTGACAGTTTCACTCATGCGTGTGTCAGATTTGCGCAATACTTATGGGGTCCCACAAAATTTTTGTAAATATTATGGGGTCCTGGAGGGTCGCGAAAAACTCTCAGTGATAAAAAGGGGTCGCAACAGAAAAAAGTTTAAGAAGCCCTGATCTACAGTATATCTTCCGTTTTGAAGGCTTGAAAGCTAAAATGAAAAGAATCCTTATCACGCATTGAGACAAAATTTGTATTGTCGGTCAAAAGAAACATGCTTCTATGTTTGCACGTCTTATTCTATGGCACTGTGGTTACTACTAGAATAATGTTTTTACCGTTTTCCACAGTGTGTGATCTTCAGTGCCGTCAAGAGCATTGGATATTTCACATTTCAAAAATCCTTTAACGATTGTATCAGGCTTGATTATTTCCCAGGCTGCCAGATTCCATTCACTTACACACTGCACATTCGGACGTTTGATGTTTCCTTTTGGCGTAAGGTCACGGGTTCCTGTACCCATCCATTCATTATAAACTTTCCCGAATTAATTTATAAAGAAACGATGAACAGTGATATTGTTACGAAATGTCTAGGCGCAGTAAGATGGCTTCCCCGCAAAGCAGTTTTAGGGTTGCCATAAAATGGAAAGGGAAGGTAGGGTTGCCACATTTGACGAATTGGCGATATGCCATGGACGGATGGAGAACCTTTTGCAACGAATTCTTACCGGTTTAGCCCAGAATGTTCTCAACACAAGCCGAAAGCTATATAAACCCTGCTGGTCCGCAGTCAGTTAGTGCCTCGTAGAGTGTCTCATCTAGTTAGTCCATGCGGAGACGATCGAGTTGACACCCGGCCAGCGAGTGCCGAGTGGGTCGTCGAGTGCACCGAAAGAGTCTCGTAGTGTAGCGCGGTTAGTGCATCGTCGAGAGAGCGTGTTGAGCTCCGGGAACGACTGAACCGAAGAGTCGGGAGCCGTGCTCTGTGTGTCGTCGAGTGCATCGCGAGTTGTAGCGTCTCGAGAGAGCGTGGAGTTCCGAGAACGACCAAGCAGAGTCGGGAGCTGTACTTTGGTGGTTTGCAGTGAAGCTTTCTCCACCGTGATAACCTGAAGGCTGTGCCGCTGATCGTGCCAGCATGTTTACAGTAGATCTTCGACGACTGTAAAAGTGTTTTGGAGCTATCCTGATTAATATTGGTAAATAAAGTGTTTCGATACTTCATCACGTGTCACCGTTATTCACTTCAAATCGACGAACCCTGTACGAACGTTAAGGAAGAAAATAACGTAACAACTGGTGTCAGAAGAAAAACGCAACAACTGGTGTCAGGAGTGGGGTTTGAGGGTGAATGCCAGTGACAAGACCAATGGAAGATCTATTAAGACAGCTCGTGTAACTGACTTGGCTGAATTCCAAGAAAAGATGGAACCCGGGTGTGCTGAGAAAAGCCGGATATAAAGAGATGACAGTTGAGATCAAAGCCGGACTAGAAGAGAAGAAAGGCCGATGAGAAGAGATAAATGACGGCCAAGAAAATGTGCGAAACTCCTGGTGAACCAACTCCTGGTGAATTTTCTTGCAGTACTAGAGAGCACTGCTAAAGCTGCACATCAGTTTCTCCCTTCTCTGCATCACATGCACTTTCAGATGGTTCAACACCTGCTGCCTGCGACTTCGTAACTTCACTGTCAGTTTTTACGAACTTAACAGTCGCATTTTCATTTTCTTCCACTTCAGGCACTTGAGAATCAAAAGCTTCTTTCCTGTCTTTTATTTCTTCGTGTTTTCGTTCTTTTTCTTTAATCCCGTTAGATGTTTCATCCTTAATTTCTTGATCTTTCTCAGACAATTCATTAGCTACTTCTTTCTTTTCTTCACCCTTTGATTCTTCAGATGCCACTTCTCTCATTTCCACATCATCTTTCATGCCTCCAGTTTCTTCTGTAAGCTCCACTTTCAGCTGCAGGACATTTGCTCTCGCACAATTTCTTGGCCGCCATTTATCTCTTCTCGTCGGCCTTTCTTCTCTTCTAATCCGGCTTTGATCTCAGCTGTCATCTCTTTATATCCAGCTTTTATCTCATCATATCCGGCTTTTATCTCAGCACATCCGGCTTTAATCTCAGCATATCTGGCTTTCAACTTCTCCTGTCCGGATTCCATCTTTTCTTGGAATTCAGCAAAGGCAGTCACGAGCTGTCTTAATAGATCTTCCATTGGTCTTGTCACTGGCATTCACTCCAAACCCCACTCCTGAAACCAGTTGTTGCGTTTTTCTTCTGACACCAGTTGTTACGTTATTTTCTTCCTTAACGTTCGTACAGGGTTCGTAGATTTGGAGTGAATAACGGCGACACGTGATGAAGTATCGAAACACACTTTATTTCCCAATATTTATCAGGACAGCTCCAAAACACTTTTACAGTCGTCGAAGATCTACTATAAACACGCTGGCACGATCAGCGACACAGCCTTCAGGTTATCAGGCTATCACGGTGGAGACAGCTTCACTGCAAAGCACCAGAGTACAGCTCCCGACTCTGCTTTCTCTCGGAACTTCACAAATGCGGTCAATAATTTGGGGAAAATAATCTTGATAAAGCTTTTGAAGTCACTGAGGCATTCGAAGTGCGTGTGTGTTATGCGAATTTGCATTTCGAATTTTTTTGTCTTTTAAAATTAAAGAGATCCAGTATGGGTGGCTTCTTGAATTTAAAATGCATATTACAAAGATCATCGTATTATTTATATGAATGCCAGTTAAAAATAGTTCATCAAATTAAAAATAAATGTCTATAGCTAATACAGAAAATTTATACTAAACAGAAAAAAAACCCTTATTCTTGCAAATATACGAAAGGGAAACAGTATCTGTTTATTTTTTAAGCACCATTTAATAGTCGACTAGTAATTTTGTGGGCAGACAAAAGGTTAGGTTGATACACATTCAGTGAAAAGGAAATTTAAAAAAAAAAAAAAAAAAAAAAAAAAAAAAAAAATAGATACATGGCTATTAGAAGAGCGCATGTATTTTTTAGTAATAGGAGCTTATTAATTAGACACTTTTAAGTGTCTATATAGCAGTCACCTTAGAAAACACTTCGCTTTAAAGAATATTCTGCGTTGTTCAGTATCGTTTTATACTTAGCATCGTCTATCCGAAAAGTTTCGGGACAGATTTTCTTCCTGGCTTATAAATCATAGCTGGGATAAAACTGGGAATGCAATTCCTGGGTGTTTCGCAGCGATGGAAGGAGAAACAATTCTTCTTTGGTGTTCGACAGTGCTCCCGCTCACACTGCTGTATTCGTGGTCCCGTTTCTAGCGAAAGGACGTGTACCAGTTCTTAACCGTCCTTCTTATTTACTCAATTTGGCGCCGAGTGACTGTTTTTATTCCCGAAAATAAAACTTCACATGAAAGGTCAACGCTATCACCATCTAATACAGAAACTTATCGACATTTAATATGCAATGACACGCAAGTTGAATAACATCCCAAACAAGGATTTTTCTGACAGTTTCATATGTCTGCGTGAACGTTCTGTGCGTTGTATTCAAGTTGGAGGGGACATGTATATAAAACACAGGTTTGTATTCAAGTTGGAGGGGACATGTATATAAAACACAGGTATTTAAAACCTTATCCTAAGTTTTCTCTTGTTTTCATTTATACGATCTCGGAACTTTTCGGACTGACGGTGTATGTTTTTAGAAATACAGGTCATTTTCAAAGGTAGAAAATTCATGAAATATGATCAGTATGAGAGGTTTCGCTGTTATAATTTAGGTACATTTTCTGCGTTAAAAAACAAATTTAATTGCAGTTTCACTACACGTCGAAATATAAATGCACGTTAAATTGCATAATCAACTTTCCCAATCAGCAGCCCTCAGGGTAAAAGTTTACTATTGGGTGCCCCTTGTTTTTGGCGGTTCTTTTTTGACGCCAAGATCGTCGCCAGGAAAGCACAATTTCAAGACGGCCGCTACACAAAACCAAAATAAAAAGTCAAAGAATTTCACAAACTCTGTGTTCATGTACACATCGATCTGTTTTCACTTAAAAATATATCCCAGAATTGCACAAACTAGGCACTGCGCATTGCGTTAAATTTGTCCATGTACACATCAATCTACTTTCATTTAAAAAAAAATCAGGAAGCTACAACAAATTTAAAACTATCATGGTAACCAGAAATGAGGTTT